AGCCGCTCAGCGGGAGAGGAAGCTCAGCCTGGTGCACGCTCACAACGCAGCCCCAACACTTAGATGTACAACCTGACACACACCCCACGGGAAGAACCGTTAAAACCATGTTTAATACGTCCAGAAAGCAGTATGAAGTAAATTTCTAGATTCAAGATAAAAACAAACAAACAAAAACCACTCTGGACATAGAGTATACCAGTATACGGGTCCGCCTACGAGGCAACGCTATGAGGCCCAATAACAGCAGGTTTATTTAACAAAACACTGGAGGATTGGGTTTGTGTGACTACATAGAAGTTCTAATTAGCTTTTTTGTTAAGTCTGCCCGATAGTAAAGAATAACAATCCAGCCCGTGAATTTTACCCCATCCCTCGCCTCTTCTACTTCTTCCTCACTCTACAAGTAAAATAACTGTAGAATATTTAAAACTCAATCTATTTATCCTCCTGTCAGGCAACAAGTGGATTCCACAGCATCACAGCCACCCCATACTAGGGGCAATTAAATAATTTTAAACACTTCTTAACACAAAACTCACCAAATACAAACTCCTGCCTGTACACACACACTACACTAAATACATGTCACACACAGGAGCCTGCAACCTTTCTGAAATAACTTATCACACTAATTTCTTAAACACCAGGCACAGAAAACCTCCGCCTAAACCAACAGAAGAATTATATTCTGTATATTCAAGTTTTGATGCTGGGTGGGCTTTTCACTTCTCAAGTTTCACTTTTTTAAAATCCCTTCACTACAGGAGAAAATGAGGGACGTGGATTTGGCACTAGCCCCTCCTGCTAAGCCTGCCCCCATTCTCCTAGCAGTAAGCAAATACGCTCTGGGGTAAGCTCCTTGCAAGCCATCAATTCCTTAATCGGACAGCAGCCCTAGGTCAGGGTCAGATCCCCATATACTTACTTCCGAGAAAAATGACTTTGTCCGAGGTCATGATGGAATTAGATTCAAGATTCTACCCACTTAATTTGTTTTTTAGATTTAGAGAAACAGTTACTCCTTCATTTGCATAAGAGAAACTGACTTTTAAAAACACATAAAAATCCACACTCTCTCCTCTTGATAAAACTTTTTATACCAGCAAAATAGTACTCAAGTTTCACATCTGTTGTAAAATAACAGATTACCAAGTGAAATGAAATCCCCAAGTTCTAAAAAGCATTCCTATGCGATCTGCTGCCTGGCACTGTTCACTAGTCTTTCATCGGGGAAATGAAGTTACTCTTGCGAGGGGAAGGGCACTGGACTTTAGGGGCATTGACAGGAAGTATTTCCCCGTGACCTGGCTTCTAAAGGGCTCTTTTATGTAGTTGGCACCACCTACACGTCAGACAGCAGATCTGCTGAAGAGAAGCTGCGGTCCGGGCTGAAAGTCAGACCACCATTTTCCCGGAAAACAGCCTGACCACCTGGCCCAACTCACTGGGGCCTTTCCATTCCCATTTCCTTGGAAGTCCTTTCCCAAAAGCGGCTTCATTCTCTTTCCTCTGACTCCTGACTCCCAGGTCTGTCTGGTTGATAAAACATGGCGGGTAGGAAACTGGACAAACAGCACAACGGAGAACGGAGAATGTCCTCCCCCCCCACCCCAAGCAGCGGCCCAGGAGGCGGCCACGTTTCTACACAGGTTCCAACAAATGTGTAAAAAGGCAACAAAACCACCGACGAAAACTGGAATGCAGCCCCCATGCTCCCTGGAGACTGGAGCCCCATTCCTAACTGCCCAATCCCACCCCACCCCAGAGAAAACCACCCTTAGGCCAACGTGTTCTCACGCTCAGCCCTCTGCTCTGTTCTCTCCCATCCAGGAACGCGGCCGGCCGAGGGCTCTCTCTCTTCCACACTCATGAGATGCGTGAATATTTCCATAATAAAAAGTGCTGCACTCACACCTGGAAGTGACTGGCTCACGCCGAGGAAAGTAATGACTGCTTACACCAGGAAGAAAGCTTATGATCGAAATAAACAGATGAACAGAGGGGAGGAGGCCTGGCCAGGTCGGAGGGCGCCTGGCCATGATGCTTCACGAGGAATGGTCTACACCAGCTGTGGGCAAACTACGGCCCGCGGGCCGGATCCGGCCCGTTTGAAATGAACTAAAAAAAAAAAAAAAAAAAAAGACAGTACCCTTTTATGTAATGAGGTTTACTTTGAATTTATATTAGTTCACACAAACACTCCATCCATGCGTTTGTTCCGGCCCTCCGGTCCAGTTTAAGAACCCACTGTGGCCCTCGAGTCAGAAAGTTTGCCCACCCCTGGTCTACACGGAAAGATTTAAATGCCTGTTGATGTTGTTTTTTAAAAAAAGGACTTACGTGAATGCATTAAGTCAAATTCCACATCTTTGTTCTAAACATCTTATAACTATGGCACAGAAAGGTCTCATTTGCCCTAGAACCGTGGTCGGCAAACCGTGGCTCGCGATATAATTACATATTGTTTTTGTGATTCATCACTATGCTTTAATTATGTTCAATTTGTAACAATGAAATTGGGGGTCACCACAACATGAGGCACTGTATTAAAGGGCCGCGGCGTCAGGAAGGTTGAGAACCACTGACGAAAGCTTCTCACACCTCAGATTTTAAAATTCAGTGGCAGCCTGGCCGGGTGATTCGGTGGCTGGGGCATTCTCCGGACACCACAAGGTTGTGGGTTCAATTCCCCGTCAGAGAAGATAGCTAGGTTGCAGCTTCCATCCCCAGTCAGGGCACATACGGGAGGCGATCGATCCATGTTCTCTCTCATACTAACATCTGTCTGTCTGTCTGTCTCTCCCCCTGCTCCTCTCTCTCTAAAAATGAAAATTAAGTCAATATACATATTCTCAGGTGAGGATTAAAAAAAAGTTCACAATGGGTATGGGTTTCTTTGGGAGTGATAAAAATGTTCTAGTGCTGACTCTGAAAAGATGAAAAATCGATGAATTGTACAGTATATGAATTATATCTCAATAAACCTGTTATTTTTTAAAGTAACTGTATGTTCTTCCTTCACTTAAGAACGTTTCTATTGATAAGCCTTTTCTCCCAATGTCAAGGATTTAACGTGGCCAAAGAATCACAACCACAGAAAAATGCTGTGACGGACACACACAGAAGTAGAAAGCCAGAGAAGGTTAGGCCGAAGGCCATCAGCCGCCCTCGCGGGTTCTGCTCAGGGGACAGAGTCGGCCCTTGGACTGAAGGGTCCCGGGTTTGACTCTGGGTCGCAGGCTCAATCCTCAGCCCTGACCCGGGCGTGTGCGGAAGGCACCCAACCGATGTCTCTCTCATGTGGATGTTTTTCTCTCGCCGTCTCTCCCCCTTCTTTCCACTCTCTCTTAAAAAAAGGAAAAAAAAATATCCTCCAGTGAGGATTAACAACAAAATCAAGCAAACTGCGAATTAGGGAGACTGATAGGCTGAATGAGAGTGAGCGAGCTCCATTCACTAACACGTCTTTGACACAAAGAAAGGATTTAGGCCTTATCCGCTCCTAAGGGTGGAACCAATAGGCTCATGCAAAGATGCTGACTGTGTGAAAACACGGAAAAGTTTGTTTTACACTCTGGCTACCGTGATGAAGGGATCAAACTAATGGCCAGAGGAAGTGAAAGTTGAAAAACTGTGCCTCGTGTGCCATCTGGGGTGTGACTGAAATCCCTGGCGTTGGGACATTTCCAAAGGAGAAATTGGTGAAATCTTGCCTGCCTATGGCCAAGTGTTTGGGGCAGGAAGGACGTTATTAAAGCATCAACTACATTCCCATCGAACTTGGGAGATGCAAACAGCGCTTACTGAGCGGTCACCTACGTCTGCCCGACAGCTCCGTCCCCAAATGACCGTCTCCCAGCACCACACGGCGACACGGCAAGTGTGCCGTCTCCTTAAAACGACACCACAGCACACCAGGAGGGACGGGAATTTGTACTTTAAAGGTAACAAGACCAGGAGCCGGGGTAACGGAAGAGTAAAACAGCAGCACCGGACTCGGCCTGGCTATCCCACAGCTGACGGGCCGGAAACAAAGGTCCACGCTCCTCTCCAAACCTCTCATTCCCTCAATCGCGTGAATGTTACTGTATTTCCACACGTTCCTGGGGAACGGCCCCATGTTTCCAAGAGGAAGGCCGCTGAGGCCCCTCCTCACGAGGAAGCAGCTGCCCCCAACCCAGGATCCACACAAGAGCAAACACCCGCTGCACAGGCCCTGCCCCGACCCCCCGACGAGGAGCACCGCGTGAACAGCCCCCAGCCCAAACCCAGCGAGCAAACCTCACCGAGCAGCAGCCGTTATGTAACCACGGCCGCTCCCGAGTCACTGTTTCTACGAGACGAAGCCACTTGTTCCCGAGGAGCTTCCGAACGCACAAGTTTCCGAAACAGTTTCCATCCCCAGAAGAGCCCCTCCCCGAGGGCTGCCCGCCGGGGCTGCTCCTCCTGGGATCCCACCCCCAGCCCGGCCCCGCCGCCCCGGCCCCG